CAGTATGATTTAGAAGTGCTTAATTTTATCGGGATTGTTTCATTCTCCACTTCTTCCTGGGGTTCATTTACTTGGTTCAACATTTAATATTAAATTGCTACATCCTCCAAGGGCCCATGAAGCTCAGATTTTGGAAATTAAAACAAATTTTCAATTTGCCTGAAGCGAAAACAGAAAAGACTGGGAAATACACAGGACAGCTGAGTTTGGTGGCACCTTCAAGAGAAGTGGTATACCCAGTAGGTGGGAATGTGCATGGAATTCCCTTTTCACACTCTTTTTCATTAATATCTCAGTACACCTTGTCAAACCATAACGCAGGTGCCCTAAAGTGGGGATTCTGTAAAGCAGGAATAGACAACATGGTGCCTTCCAGTTGTTTTCAACTACAACTACCATAATCCCTTATCATTGGCAATGCCGCTTGGGGCTGTTGGGAATTATAGTCCAAAGTATCTGGAAGGCATCAAGTTGGCTGTCCTTGATTTAATGTGTGAATTACAGGGTTTTTAAAGACTTTTTTTCAGCCAGTGGCCTGGGAAACATAGTACCTGCTCAGCAGTTAAGGCTAGATATATCTAAGCATGCAAATAGGTGTGTAAAAGAAGAGTTGGAAACTATGACAGCAGCAGACTCCAGCTTGGTGCTAGAATTTTTCCTACAGCAGTTATTAAGAGGAAGAGGCACTGACGGCAGGGATTTTGCTCATATAGAATCCCCTCACACATGGCCTGTTAGTTACCCAGAGGCGGGGGCATGCCTAGTGATTGGATAGGTTGGCTCAGAGTGGCTGGGAGCCTGATCATCCATGTACACCTCAGGCCATTCCTCCACTGCTCTGGATGGCTGGGTGAGATATGCAGGCTCCTCTGGGTGCCAGGATGGAGAAATCAGATTGCTGCAGCCCTGAGGGCCCCCCTCCCCAGGTGGCTGGCAGCGCTATTAGAAGTGTGAGTAGAACACCCAGCAGGACTCAGAGGAACAGAACACAGGGAGAGGGCAAGAGTGGAATGGAGGCAGAAGGGAAAGAGGAAGAAGTCAGGGAGATGGACTAATGGAGATGGTGGGGAGGCAGGGCAGAGCAGACTCAACCCCAATGTCTGTGGAGGAAGTCACTGGCTGAGTGCAAAAGGTAATGAAAAGCAACCATTTTGACTTTCTGGTCCATGGTCTCTCCCAACTTTGGTGGTGCCAATACAGCTCCTTGCCAAGAGCGCAAGGGACAGGGGAGGCAGCAGACTGATGTGTCTCCTTGCTAAGGACACAAGGGAGCCCAGTTATGCCTCTGCCCAAAGGTACAGTGGTACCTCTGGTTGTGGACACGATCCGTTCCAGGGTGCCGTTCGCACCCCGAAAAGTCCGCAACCAGAGCAGCACTTCTGCGCATGTGCGAACCTCACAGAACGCTTCTGCGAGTGCGGCGAAACCCGGAAGTAAATACTTCCAGGTTTGCTGCATTCTTAACTCAAAAAAGGGAACATGAAGCGTTCACAAGAAGAGGTATGACTGTAGTCGTTATCATCAATGCCAACAAAGCAGAATGTAGAATGACACATAGAGAGAATCTCAATCAGTGCATAAAGAGAGATGGCAATTACAAAAGAAAGAGCTAGCTGCATTTGCTATGAAGGCCTGACATTTGCGTACTTAAGCCCAAGTTGACCCTACACTTAACAGTTGATTTAAATGGGTTTAAGTTTGCATATCAGTGCATAGTGTCAGATAGGCAATCAAATCTGGGGGTTTCCATTGTTCTTTTCAGGTATCCCTACGGATGAAGAGCAAGCTACTGGGCTTGAACTGAAAAGTATGCAAGCCTTGAAGAGAGGGGAAGTAAGTTTAAAGCAATTGAAGAGTTTCACTGAAATATGATTTTGTTTGGTTTCACACTCTTGACTAATAACTATCACTATCAGTGGAAGATTTTAAAAAGAAATTTAACCTAGAACCCAACACATCTCCCATTGCTTTTGTTGACTACACCATTGGCTGTGGTCTCATCATGCACTGTGACTTAGAGGTCTTAAGTCTTTACGGGCCCTGTAGAGTTTTCTCAGCATCACTTAATTTACACATCAGGCTGAATTTAAAAGCAATGAAATTCATGCAGATGAACCAAGGTTGGAGTGGAATACAGCCTTAAACTCTTACTTCAGTCACCCAAGATTTATAACTTTTTTGTTCTTCCACTGTATTCTAGTTCTTTAAAAATCACCCCTTGGTCATTCAGTAAAGGAAAAACATGGCAGGAGGGGATATATAACAACTGTGCTGCTAACTAACACATTTCTTCTTTATAAAGGATCCATACAACGTCTTGAAGCCCAAGAAATATCCAGGAACCAGAGAAGAGCCTCATATTGTTCCATCAATTGGGGACAAGAGACTAGTGGGTTGTATCTGTAGGTATCAGAATTCGTTTGACTTCAGTACATACTGTCTTCCTGATTCTCATATTGCATAGTCTTGTAAAACCTATTAAGCACCAGACATATCAGGTGCAATCCCATCCCACCATGGTGAAGCAATCGTCTTTTGATTCAAACAGTAGAGCCTTTCCCCTTCAACACATCCCTCAGTGCATGCATGCACTCAAAGTGGGATAATTCTAGAGGCAGCATGCTCAGACTTCCCATTCCCTGTCCTGGGCTGCCTGTGTGCATGCACAAGGGGAAGAATCCACTGAACCCAAGGGGAGCTGAGGAGGGTAAGAGTGGGTGTAAGTATTCCATCCATATCTTATAAATTGCCTACAGCAAAATTTATGTTGTAATAGTGTTGATTGTTAACAGTGGTTTCTAGTTGAGTTGGGTGTGAGTGCTTTAAGAAATTTTAAAAATACTGTAAAGGCATACTTATTGACCCTGTTACAAATGAAGCGGCATGTAAAATATGCACAGCCTGAGTCTTTGGTAGAAGATGCATACTATATTAAGATACAAACATGGCATTTTCTATGATTCTTGCTTTGAAACACCAAGGAGCTATTGGCTCTTTCCCAGGTTGTTTTCAGTCTCTGGCCTTGTTTTTTTTTTTTTTTTGTCTGACACTAACAGTCAGCAGGGTGACAAGTTAAACATTTCCTGCCAATTCTCCCCCACATTCATGCATTTGGGAGTCTCTTTCCCAGAGTCCCTGTGTAGTTATGTCCTACAATGATAACTACACAAAAGATGCAGCAACATGCAAAACTACTTCCCACTGATCTGGTAGGAAAGATGCCATAACCAACTTCAAAAATAGACCAGCTTCAAAGGCTGCTGTTCCACTATTCTAGGGAACCAAAACTGTTGTCAAATGTAACTGGTCCTTCTCTAACGTCCTTCAAGCTTTCTAAAATGTGGGTTCTTAATTAACAGATAATGGAATTTTTTTCTTTCTTTCTGCAGGTGAGGAAGATAACTCCACTATTATTTGGTTCTGGGTACACAAAGGAGACAGCCACCGTTGCCCTCAGTGTGGGTCTTACTACAAGCTAACTCATTATGAACTCCCCCACTGAGAACTGATACCAAGAAAAGGTGTTTTTTCTTTCTTTCTTTCATTGTAGACTTAAATAAATCTGCCTGCCTTTAGCTGCATCAACCTTAGTTACTTTATTGCACCTGCATCTAAAAGCTGAGACAGAAATACCATACAAGAGCTCTGAACAGTATCCCTTTTTTTGGGATCAAAGCAGCCAAAGTAGGTCTGGTTTGGATTATGGCTGCAGCTGTGCTGTTTTTTCTATTTTTAAAATCACTCCCACCCTCCTATAGCTGCTATTTACCCCATTAGGGGAAACATACAAGTGCCTATATGCTGGTGGATGACGTACAATTAGGACCTTGATAGCAATGCATGCACCCGCATTGCTCATAATCTACCACCTCAAGTGTAATAACAGTGTGTGTGTGTGTGCGCACACACACACACACACGCCTGCCTGCCTTCATTCTTAAAACTCCTGCTGACACACAAAATATTCCTTCAAAAAGCTCGTCATTTTCACAGGAACTACTTCAACAAGTTATTTGTGAACTACAAAAATGGAGATGATCCAAACTGCAACCAACAGAATGGTAGAAAAACCTAGCTTCACATGGCACGCTTGGTCAAAGTAACAGACGTCTAGGCTGAGCATTATTACAATGTAACACATGGTTATGGAACAAACATCTGCAAGGGAAGTAGTGATATGTTGGGAACTTAGTAGGAAGGAAAGACAGCTTACTTAACAAGGTATATGCAAGGAAGAACCCATTCATTGTAACAAGTAACTTGGGTTACTGCTTTCCCCACTTCCATTATAACGGGTTGGCAAGGCTTACCGGCCAGGGGCCGGATCACTCCTGTAGAGATTGCCGTGGGCCAGACCGGCACAGTGCAATGCTGGAAATCACATCTGCGCGTGTCCGTGGCACCAGAAATCACTTCTGCGCATGCCCAGACGCCAAAAATCGCACCTGCGCAGAAGCGATTTTCAGCATCTGGGCATGTGCAGAAGTGATTTCCAGTATCTGCATGTGTGCAGACGTGATTTCCGGCGATGCTCGGACACTCCCTGCACAGCGCGCAGGGGACTCGCTGAGCGGGTGGCTCGGGGGCCAGTCAAATGGTCTTCATGATCTGCATCCGGCTCATGGGCCACACGTTGCCAACCCCTGTATTATAACATACAAAGTACTGAACATATGCATAAGCCATGTGTATCTGATCCTTTGTTAAACCATGTCCTGTCATTTCACCGTATCAATATAAATTTACAGTATTGCATTGACAGAATCCCTGCTTCACTCTTATGTGACATTGCCAGATGGACTTCAGTCATGCAGACTACAGAGCCTACATGGGTCTTGTCAATTATGCAGACGCAGTCCAGCCAGAACTGGGAGTTAAGGCTGAACCTCATATGAACCTCAAAATAATTATCACAGAGATGTGTGCTAAGTGACACACTGCTATGCTAACTCCTGCACAGAATCAAATTTGTTGAAAGAATGAAACACCTACATGCACACTTGTACATAATTCATTCAAGAATTTTTTTATTTGATGCTTGAATTGTTTCACTGCAGTTTATAAATCTAAAAAAAAATAAATATTTCACAGCTGAAAGTCACATACTATCCATTAACATGTAAACATTCAGGAACTTAAGCTAGCCCCCACCCCCTCAATCCTCATGTTTAATTCAATATCATCAGGAGATGTCTTACTGAAATCCAAAAAGTCTTTTAAAAAGAGAGCATTTAACAATTATCTGAAAAAGTGTAAACTGAACCAGAACTGCAAAACTGCTCTTTCAACATTTGTGAATGGGAACAAAAGGATAAAATTCTCAGCTCTACTGAAGGTAAAAGGCAAAAAGTGGAGCTGAAGCCAGGCATTCCTTGATTATTCTAATTACCAACAGTTGCCAAGGATTGAATTCCAAGATTAAATAATGGGTTCCATTCATAATTTTAACAACTGATAGTTGCTTCATGCTGCCATGAGATTATCAGACAAATTATCTTTCACATTGTCTTGATCTCTTTTTTTTTATGTTAACAGGAGCCATATTTGTTCCGGTATGAAAGGGTTGACATAAAATTTATGGTTCCTCATAAGATTTTTACAAAAAGACAAGAGATGCATATCTCTTAATTTATCAGCTCAAATGTTAATGCCTTTTGGGTGTGTGTCTCTTTTTATAAAATAAGCCCCAATTCAGTTACAAGTAATAGATACTCTACTGCTATTGGAGCACAGGTATTTTATTACAAAAAAAATATATTTACAAAATGAAAAACCTAATGTGACTGTTGCAGTGATTGGGGGGGGGGAGTAAGCACACCTTTCACACACACAGCAAGTCATTTTGCAATATGTGAAGTACTAAAATTTAGTTAGTGAAACCATTGCTTTTATTCCAAAGTTGAATTTTTATTAAGATGGCAAAATGTGGCTCCAGCATTCATATCAAGACAGTTTATTAGTGTAAGGATTTTTGGCTGCCATTAGAGGATCCGATCACTGAACATGTTTACAAGCATTTCTTATAATAGCTCCGCTGCCAGGCTTTTCACCTTATGTGACACTGCAAGATAGATGCAAAATTAGTTCAGTGTTCCCACGTTAAAGAGTTGCTGTGTTCTTAGCTTCTGCAAGTTATACTAAATTGAAACCTTCATTGTGATCAATAGCCTGGATCAGCTTAGATCTGAGTATTTCTTTATCTGTATATTTTGGAAGATCAAGAAGATTAAAACATGTATGAGACACAGGGAGATACTCATCACCACCTCCAGTCGGCTGAATGACAAGACTAAGGCTCTTCATCCCAAGAATAGGAATACGATCACTGCCTGTCAAAAATACTACCAAGAAAATATAAATAAGTAAGAAGCCTGGGTACAAAAGCCAAAAATTTAGTGCTGTGCTATAATTTTCATTTTACTTTTTAGACTGATATAGCCCAAATCTAAAATTCTGAAAATGTAAAGCAGTTATAGCCATATGAAATTGTTTATAGTTCACTGTTTTTGCTTAAAGTTATTCTAAACAAATTTTATAGTTTAGAGAACTTATTTATTATATTTGTTCATTGCTTTACCCAGAGGTTCTTTTGGGGGGGGGGAAATATAACTAAAAACAGAAAATCCATATAACACTCCTGAGTCCAACCCTAAAAAACATGTATCTGAAGAAGTGTATCTGTGTATCTGAAGAAGTGTGCATGCACACGAAAGCTCATACCAAGAACTTAGTTGGTCTTTAAGGTGCTACTGGAAGGAATTTTTTTTGTTTTGCCTAAAAAACAAGTGTGGTGTGAAGTGATTTAATTAAGTTAACAGTTTCTCTTGGCTAAATAAATAATTATTTGCTTGGAAACAGGTGTGCTTGCACCTAAAGTAAGGTTTTCAACCTTTAATGAATCATATCAAATCAAGCAGAGTAGCTGCATGGGTGCTTTCAACTGGTATGATGTGTTTCACCAGAAACAGTTGCAGTTAATCTATTCATATATGTGCCTGTATGCATGTTAGGGTGCTCACACATTCAAAACTCGGGGCAGAATACAGACTTAAGTTAACTTAGGTCCTACTGAAATCAATCAAGTGAGCCAAATCATGATGCATGTTGTGCTTCATTCCCATTGAAACCAGCCGAAAAAACGTCTGGATCCAACAGATAGTATTTGAAACATAAGTGAATAAGCAACTTGCAGACCTGATCCTAGTAATTGTTGTTTATTTCTGTTTAAAATATTCATTATTTAAAAAAGTGAAAATGCAAATTCTCCCTTGGACAGAATCCAAACTCAACTTAGCATTTTAACCATTCAAAAAAACCAAACCCAACACTAACACTTAGGCTTAGCATGACATGTAAACCAGGTCTACACTGTAGTTTAGCATTACGTGCATGAACAGCACTGAGCCTTACACTCACATTCATAGGTGCCAACTCCCTGGGGCCCTGGGTGGTTGACAACCCACAAAATTCCCATGAAAGGGGCTGCCTGCATTTCCCCCTAACCTCCAGTCCTGAAGTGATTAGAAGAAACTGCTGCTGCCGCTCTTAAACTGGAGTTCTTACTTCCAAATTTATTATTACCCCACCCAGATTATACTATAACTTGATAGCAAGACAGGATCATAAACTACATATTGATCCTGGCTTGTCTGAACACACCACAGCTAAACTAACCACAGTTCCAAGTTTGGATGTAGGTTGTTTAAAACCATAGGTAGATACTTCCGATAGCCGGCTATGCTGAAGGAAGCTCCACAGGCCCGAGGCTCACTGCTGCTTAGCATATAGTGCTAAATTATGACCTAGTGTTACAGGAAAAATAAGCCAATGGTAACAATTGCTCTAGAGTTTCTATTTAGATTTCTTATTTTCTTACACAGTTTTGTATACTTACATAAAAACTGTTTCTTCTTCTCCAGTGGTAACTCATGAAAAACTTCCCAGAACATTTTAATTGTTGGATTCTCTGCCCAATATTCTCCTTTGTATTGAGTATTCTAAGAACAACAAATCAAAATCACAATATATCCGCCTCAAATTTACAAATAAAATGTTGTATATTGAACAAACAAAAATACCTATGTGTAAACGTATTTATAGAATTTTATGTATTTTAGTGTTTTTCTACATAATACAGAAAAGCTCTATTTTGGGCAATCGCTTAATTATACAGGGTTCTTTAGTGTTCAGTAGCTGCTAATGTCTTGACTAGTAACATACCTTCTCTAGTTCTTTCCAATCATAGTTTGTATTCCCAATCACCATTGCTTGCAGTTCATTGGGCTGGAAGAGCTGCAGAACTTTACCTCCACACACCTTGTGAAAGCCTGCATGGAATGCGTCATAGAGAGGAGCCACAGATTTATTGAAGATGTAGTCCACGTAGGCATTCACAAACTCTTGCCTAAAGATCAAATGAGAAGAAAAGGCACCATGTTTTCAGAAGATGAGAATGTTCAACCACAACTGCACTAGCAATGAACAGCAACCATTTTAGCACTGCCAACAATTATCTTCAGATAGCTCCTAGTTAAGAACTATAACATGAATGTCACACTGAATCCAGCACACAAAGCAAAGAGGGGAGGCATGAGAAAGGAACAGGCAAGTTTGACACTACAGTGATACCTCGGGTTACAGACACTTCAGGTTACAGACTGCGCTAACCTAGAAATAGTACCTCGGGTTAAGAACTTTGCTTCAGGATGAGAACAGAAATTGTGTGGCAGCGGTGCAGCAGCAGCGGGAGGCCCCATTAGCTAAAGTGATACCTCAGGTTAAGAACATTTTCAGGTTAAGAACGGACCTCCAGAACGAATTAAGTTCTTAACCCGAGGTACCACTGTAATTCCTGACTTCTTAAGCTATGGTTTATGAAGCCAGGAAAGATAATTCAAATGCTGCCAATGTCTTGGTGGCTGCAGTAAGGAATCACCAAGAAGAGAAGCAGAAGGAGGGCAAAACTCGTTTCTTAAAATATTTTGCCTGTTTATCACCACAAGAAAGAAAGAAAGAAAGAAAGAAAGAAAGAAAGAAAGAAAGAAAGAAAGAAAGAAAGAAAGAATTCTTTTGCAAGATTACAGGTTTGGAATAAATATCTCAGAAGTTGGGTATAACTCCCCACCACACCCACACCCCTTATAGTTCAATTCTGATTAAGAACCTGCATGAAATGAAAAAAAGTATTTCTCCCTGATAAAATTAAGCAAAGGCAAACTTCTGTCAACCTACCATGCTAAAACTTACCTATTTTGTTTGACAACAGGAATATCAGTACCATTAGGAATTAGCTCCTTAACTTCCGTAGTACCAAAATTTTCAACAGTGATCTGTTTAGAACATGAGAGTGTATTTTACTTTTTGTTGCAGAATAGAATCTATAATTCAATACAGGAAAGTGAAGCATGCTATACAAAGTATAGCATTTTAACAGGAAAAGAGAGACTCGATTACATATTATTACTCATTACACCGGCATTAAAAAGGTGGCAATGGATGATCTCACACTTACTGTAAAGTTGAGGCAGAAGGTATCCTCTATATCATCTTCTGGGTAGTCCAATAATTGCTGCATACTCCTGAGAATAAAATGTCTCTCATCACAAGTTGTAACAGCACAATTTATTCAGAAACTTACAGAACTGAAATGGTTTTATATTCTTCCACAGAAATTTACAGTTTAGATTTGCAAAAAATCTAGCAGCTACTGAGAAGTCAATATCTGTTCCAAGTTTTTTTTTGCCCTGAAAGGATTTCAATCCTAAAAAACCTACATTTGTTTCAAGTGTGTCAGCTAGAAATAAAGACACTCTAAATCTTGTATCTCATCTCCTTAACAAGGTATTCAATTATTTCTTTGCACTGTCAAAGAAGTTATGATGCACAGAAATGTTAATCTACTTACTGTACTTTCAGTTGTAATGTGCTCACCTGCCAACATCAGGCATTAGCTCTTTGAGGTCATCCAGGGAAGGTTTCTTGTTCAGGAGCTTCTTATATAAAGCCAAAGGGAAGTGAAGCTCTACAATAGTAAAATTATATATTGCTAGCCCACAGACAACACCAATCAGATGAAATAAGTCACTGTCTTCAAAGGTCTGCAAATATGAAAAAACTGAAATTAAACTTTTAAAAGCTTACAAAAACATGCACATTGCTTTAGAGGCCATGCTTGCATTCAACTGCTGCTAGACTTCAAGTGGAATCACAATAATTTTGCAAGCTAGTACACTCAGTTATTACTCATGTATATGTTTGAGGTTGGGATCTATAGGGTTAAAAACTCATCAAGCCATTTTTTCAAGGGTTACAGGATGTTTAATTGCTTTGTATTTGATTTTGCAATCCCCTCTAGTGTAGCGAGGCAACAACTCAAGTGGCAAGCAACCAGTGTTTTGAGGGTTAGCATTCTAGAGAGAGGTGTCCTGATGATGGTTATCTATGATCTGGTAACATCCTGTATTAATGCACTGTCCTTGGTGCTGCCTTTGAAGCAACTAGGAAAATTCAGCTAGTACGAAATACAATGCCTAGGTTACTAACAGAGACCAACTGAATATATATCTCACTCAACAGAAAACTGCACTAGCTGTATCTCTGGCACAGTTTAAGGTGCTGATTCTTGCCTTTAGAACTTTAATCAGCTTAGGAGGACTGCTTTGTTCACAGGAACCTACAGCTCAAGTTCTAAGATCATCCTTGAAGTCCTTTCTCTGAGACATCTTGATGAAGCCAATTATGACAAAGGAAAAGGGTCTTTTCTGTTGTGGCACATCTGGTGTAGAGTATTTCCGTGGGAAGGCTTTTTATCACACTACATTTGGATTTTTTATTACACTACATGTGTTAAAAATGCTAGGGTGTCTGTTTTGTCACCAACAAGAGTTTTGTGAGTGGCCGCTGTTAATAATGGAATTGTGACTGATCATATGTTCTACATTTCATTTCCCTCTAACCTCATGATTTATAATCCTTCTTCCAAACAACTCAGGTGAACACTTCATGTACCCGATGAAGTGATCTGTACTCCATGAAAGCTTATGCCATAAGACTTTAAGATGCAATGATACTTTTATTTTGGCCCCAACAGACTCTACAAAATCACAGCCATGCAGCAGCCACAAAACACACTGACTTAATCTAGTGCTGTTGTATTCATGGCCTTCTGTGACCACCAGGGAAAGGGGACAGAAATGAGCACATTCAGGATCAAGAGCAAAGGGCTAACATAACAAATGCTACCACAGTCTAAAGGATGCAGTGTGCACTGGTGCAATTATATCATAGTAGTAATATTCTCAAAGATACCATAGGCTGAAAGTAAATCAGGATATTCATTTCCACTATAAATACACAAAACCCAACAAATTGCATACCTTATCTGAGAACCAGATGAGCCTCGATTGTTCGTCGTACCTGAACATTCCATACTTGGGATCTAACAGCTCTCTCATGATAAGCAAGAAAAATTCTTTGCGAACTCCTCCTGCATCAACAGCTTCTTCCCCTACAAAGATAACCTAACATTGGCAATGCAGTTAGAACATTACATTTTTAAAAAATAAAATACCACACATACTCATAGAATCATAGAATTGCAGAGTTGGAAGGGACCCTGAGTATCATCTAGAACAATCTCCTGCGATGCAGGAAGATGCAGCTGTCCTGTAAGGGAATCGTACCTGCGACCTTGGCGTTATCAGCACCAGGCTCTGACCAACTGAGCTATCCACAAGTGCTCAGTTTATTACTTGGCTAATGACATTTACATTAAGGAGTCTGACTAAAGGCCACTTCATACATTGTACTTTAAAGTTGTAAAATGTGTTTTAAGTTTTTATAAATGTTTTATTATTATTATTATTTATGTGCTGGAAGCCACCCAGAGTGGCTGGCGAAACCCAGCCAGATGGGTGGGGTAATAATAAATAAATAAATAAAATATGAACACGGCAAATGTATATTTGTAAAGACATATGTTATACAGGTATATAGGTTATACAGGTACATTTTTCATTAACCTGGAGCAGCCTCAACTCTATGAATGAATGTTGAGGGGCAAGTTATGAATTATATGCAAGTGTGCATACTAAAGTTCCAACAATTGAAAAGAAAGAAAATGCACCAAAAGGAGCCTTAGGTAGTTGTGATTTTGAATGATGGGAGGAAGCGAGTGCTGAACCCTTTCTTGGCCAGCTGTTTTCTGCTCAGAATTCTCCCTTCACCCAGTTCTAGGACAAATATTTGCCATGGGAAAAGCAGAGGGTAGGGGGTGGAGAAGAAGAGAAAACTGAAGGCCAGGTGTGCATCACAAAAAGGTAAACATGCATGCATATAGGCTATACCTTAAGAGGCTTCTTGTAGTCAACATTTTTTGTTTTTCTTAGGACTTCCATGGTATCCCCCACAATATTGTCTCTGCGCACAATTAAGATCAGACATGGATTGACAGATTCAAATACTGGGAGAAAAATAGATGAGAAATTCTGTCTGTGAGCCTGGTCAACAGCCATCTGGGAAAAACCAAGTAAAAACCTTAGTGGCAGCAGCAGTAGTAATAAACACTGGATGCTCAAGAGAATCTACAATTCCTAGTAATATTTCCAGCTTGTGATTATACTAATGCAGTAATGCCTGAATCTTTGATATCCAAAGACACAGTTTTTCTCAATAACTGAGCAACTGTGATACAAGCCAGTTAATATAAACAGGGCCTAAGTTATATCAATCCAGGAATAACTACAGTGTTTTAAAGTATTTTATTTTTAAATTACTGTTTTACCTGCATCTGTAAGACTGCATCTGTCTGCAAGAGTGTTGTCTTTGCCTGTGCATCAAACACAAATGGGTAGGTGCAAATTGTAACTGGCACATCTGCTAGCTAGAAAGGCAATAGAAAAAGCTGTTAGCATGTGCAGTATTAGCAACAGTATATATAAATTTTCTTTTGGCAGTTATGCAACATTTACTTGACAGAGAGATATAATACAGGATATCCAGCTTATGAAGAGGTTTATATTTTTTAAACAGTTTTAGATATATCTAATCCATGAATTTATTTCAAGATTATCAGAATTCAAGGCCCATGGATAAACCTGATGTCAGAATCTTTGGGTCTAGTTTCCAAAACTTTACTGTGGAAATCAGATAACTTCTTACCTCATTTAATCCATGGCTGATATCCTACCAAAAGAGTGCATAAGAGGCAGCAGTAATTAAAAGGAAAAAAACACTGTTAGGTTCCTCTCCACTTTCCTCCACACCCCCAAAAGCCTTCATGCAGATGCCTGCATTTTTTTAAAAAAAGATGGGCACAGACTAATGCCTGTGTGGCATTCAGAGTAGAGCTATTGAAATTAATGAACCTAAGAGCTTCCTCTTGTCCCGCTGCTTCCCTGCCCTACCCCAAGCAAAACTGCTCTTTAGTACTCTAATGGAGCAAATAGCAAATGGTTTTTCCGTGGATTGCCCTTTGTTCCAATTTAAAGTTAAGAGCAGGTTTTCCCTGGGAAAGGAGCGGGACAAGGGGGAAACTGTTTGGGCCCATGCTTTCTAAGTGTGGACGAGCCCTAACTTAAGTCACTTTCATGAATGTCAATGGGTCTATTTTGAGCAAAATTTAGTTAAATACCTCTCTCTATGTCCTATGTACAGGGACGCGGGTGGCACTGTACATAGGGTGGGGCTTTGCACATCAAAGTGCAAGTAGATAAATAGGTACTGCTCCGGCGGGAAGGTAAATGACGTTTCCGTGCGCTGTTCTGGTTTGCCAGAAGCGACTTAGTCATGCTGGCCACATGACCTGGAAGCTGTACGCCGGCTCCCTCGGCCAATAAAGCGAGATGAGCACCGCAACCCCAGAGTCTGCCACGACTGGACCTAATGGCCAGGGGTCCCTTTACCTTTATGTCCTAGGTACACAGAGCAGTGTAGAGAACAATGTATGCTAATGCACATGGATCTCAGGGAGGTACATGGCATAACTGTGCCCATATACAGATTCACTGCTAATACATGCATGGAGCCTCTACCAAAGTCATGCCTGGCACACATTCACTTCCACAAGATGCAGTGGTCGCGCCTTAGAAAACAGGGATAAATAAAAGTTCACAGAGAGGTTTGGTCCTAAACTGTGCAATTCTCCAACTTTACGATTGGTTTATTCAAACATCTATCCCAGCTCATTTCTAAAACTTTATTGTGGCCCACCTCCAAATTATGACTAAACTATTAATGTGCCTAAAAACCAAATGTCACAGGCGCAAAAATCTAGCCTAGGTAGTTTTTTAGTTCTTTTCATCCTTCATCAACATGTTGATAATGGACACAGAGCACTCATGAGCACAACTTATCTATTCAATTAATACATTTATGAATAATCTTTTTCATTTTCAAAATCTTAAAAAGCAGATTGCATTTCTCACAATCAGTATTCCGAAACCACAGATCCTATTTAACCTACACTGTTTCTAGGCTCTGCTCCAAGCCATTACAAAAATACTTCAGATGCCCGACTTGAGATATATGAGCAGGGAAAGAGACACTTCTGAGCTAAAAATAAAATTGATACTTTAGGGAGTAGTTTTAAATAAGGGTGGGGACCTTTCCTTTGAGAACACCACGATTACTGAATAGAAGAAGTAGAGGAACAATGAATTATATGCACAATTGCAATGGTGGGATGTAGGATACAGGTATTCTCCCATAAAAGTAATATATTTGAGTAACTCATGAGGAGAGATACATGAGGGCAGATGACATTTTAAAAAGGTGTTAGTGTTTGATCACCATCATTTAATAAACCTGGAATTTTGGTTCCTGTTGCCTACCTTAAATAGTTTCCAAAAATATTCTTGTTTGTTTAAAAGCCCAACTCTATTACTACCTTATGGACCCTATGGTCCAGTTCACACCAAACCAGGGGTGGTTAACCTGTTGCTCAACTGCAACTCCCACCAGCCTCAGACAGCATCACCAATGATCAGTGGTGAGTCGTAGTTCAGGTTATTCATGTCTGTCACTATACCATGGCTTAGTGCTGCATGAACAAATCTCCCTGAACCCTGAGCAAAGCACTGGCGGCCTGCATGCTCGCCTCACCAATTCTTGTTAGGCCAGGAGAAGAACCTGCACCAAGTCTGGTTTTGCTTTTGAACAGTCTAGGCTCAGTGCAAATGAATGGACTAGGGATTTTGGCGGTTAGATTCAGGAAGAACTCATGTGCCAAGATGTGACTGTGGTACAGCATGATTTGCCAGTATATCCAAACCAAGCAGTGCATCATTTGATGTACACTCTGTATTCTTTAAAGGAAAAGAAGAAAAACTAGCCCTCTCTCTAACGCTTATCAAAGACCAACTTTTTTACTCTGCATGGATGTAATGTTTCAGAAAACTTCATAAAAAGGACATTGTCTAGGAAAAACTAAAAAGAAAAAGAAAACCCACAACCCAAAACTGACATACACTAAGAACCACTCTAAATAGAGCACTTGTCACAACCTAAACTGTTCTTGGCCTGCACTGCTTCAGACTGTGGTGGAGGAGCAGGGGACCATAGTCATGTTCATTAATTTCAATGGGTACACTGTTGAGTGAAATTTTGGTTGAATACCATCCATAGAAATCTAGCATGTTAGGCAGAACACCCTTCTCTCCCACACCTAGCTATCTGTTTGCAGGAATTTATTTATTGTATTGGGAACACTGAGCCATACAATTCATCCAACTGAGCAGCTATGCATTGTGAATTCAAGCCCATGCAGTGTATTTCATAACGCATAGTGAAAACAAAAATGGGACATTTACCATTCCATATGCCTGCTGCTGAATCCAGTGGAAGTAGTCACTTCTTATGTCTATCAAATCCTGTAGTTCATGTATGTAGAATTTATCATATTGTATGATTTGCCCACCTCTTTCATTTACCTGCATTTTAAAGAGAATGCAGTTTGTCACTGAGAATATTTTACATTTCACTCTATTCTATTAAAACTATTTCTTCAGATTTGTATATGAAATGCTATTTGCAATATTTTGGCTGGCCTAATAAAGGTATTGCCATACTATGGAGTCTGGAAGTTGCTGTCTATGTTAGCCAGCCTTCTTCACAAAGAGGAATAATTTGTCTGAACTCTTAAACTATTTTCATTTATAAATATATGTCCTTTCCCAAAGCATAACAAGACTGGAATATGTCAGAGTCACACAATGATTTAGTTATAAACTACAGGGAACAGCCATTTTCTGTGTGCACCGCTTTCAGCCACAGAATGGGGAGGGGCTGGAACAGGCTGATGTTTTAAGGACATTTTTTGATATGATGCTTTCTCCCTCCCACTTTAGGGGTTGGTATTTGTTTGCTGAATGTGACCAAGGTTATTTATAACTGATAAGCAGCAAGAGAAAATGTGTTTTAAATTATTTATTTATAGAATGATACTGTTTATGTATATTAAGTTGTAAACATTAAGAAGTTAGTGTAAAACCAACCATGCATTTTATTCCAAGATGCACTCCAAAAACCAACTTGATAATAAAAGTACTTGCTATTACCAGGCAGCCTGTGAGTAAGACTATTTGAAAAGTGGGGTTCCACATGTTTCTTGTCAACTATTTCAATATGCAGTGTCAGATCTTAAGACATTGAACCAGAATGCATGCATGTATGCATAGAATTGCAGCCTTAGTGATTTCTCTTTTGTGGTTCTGCCTTTGCTAAAGTAAGGTATGTTGTTCACAAAATAAATTTTGACTCCATTTGTAATATTGGCATGAACTTTCAACTTCTGTGGTTTGGGTGAGTCCATATACTGAGAGCCATATACTTTGATCTCAGTTCTGATGTTACATTAAATGAAAGTATGGTCTTGCATGTCTCTTCATGAGAACATAAGGAAATACTCCATCCACTGATTATACGGATTCCAAACAAATCTCAATGGTCCACACAGCCACAACTTTCTGTGAAAGTTCAGACTTCTAAACTCTAGACTTCTAGACTCAGTGAAAATCAATTGCATCAATGATACAGTACATCAGCCAAAATGTATCTGGCAGCAGAAATAAGGATACAAACTGCAAAGACCTACCCTGTGCAAAATTTCCAAAACCTTGAGAGAAGAGTGCAGGCAGCTAGAGAAGATTCTTTGCTCTGAAGTTGGAATGCCCATCTTGTACAATTTAAGAAGGTGGACAACAACATCCTTGTAAAGTTCCACTATTTTAAGGAACAGGGGAGGCTCCAATGCAGACCACCAGTTTTCTATTAATAAAAGGGAAAAGCAAATCTAGCAGACGAAAACATTGCACAACTTGACAGGACTTATATGTAACTAATACTGTCTAGATCTCAAGTTCATTAGTTGTTCAGCAATGAATAAATCAGACCATCCGTTTTTCCGCTCCATATCAACATCCTTTTAATATGTAAGAATAGGAGACATAGTTTTTTGGATGTTAGAAAGGGAAGTGCAAAGTTTATTATCCCTGAGGAGAAATCTCTCAAACAGTAGCAAGAAACCCTGCTTATTAACTATCATGAATTCAAAAAGACAGTTTAAGAAATTTCATTGGACACTTGAGCAATTCCGGATTTAAAAAATAACTTGGCCTCAAAATTATAAATCTGTATCACAGTAGAGCATAGTTGATAATTTACTATTATTTATAATTTACTATTATGCCTTTCTGGTATATTTGCCTCGTACAATCATACCTCGTGTTGCATTCCGCTCTTGTTACGGACTTTCAGCTTACGAACGTGGCAAACCCAGAAGTGTTTACTTCTGGGCTCACTGCCTGTGCATGCTCAGAAGCGATCTGCGCGCTTTGCGCATGTGCTTGATCGCACCGTGCACATGCGCAGAAGAGGCACTCTAGTTGCGGACTTTTCGGGGTGCAAATGGCACCCCGAAATGGATTAAGTCCACAACTAGAGGTACCACTGTACCTGCTAATGGCAAGAGGAAATACATTACGTATTTTTCACTCCAACAAACACTATCAGTAAGCAAAAAACAAACCTTAGGACTGACATAAACCACAATTTCTAGTTTGCATTTAATGCTATGCCAGGGATCACTGTTTCCACCCAGCGTGAATGTGGAGGAATAAGTGGCCAGAGGCAGTGTGTTCATGGCAAACGATTAATAAAGGTTTACAGTGGTATGCAAACAAAGCACTTGCTCATAGAGCTACACAAGGATATCTATATGCAACAGCACTTCCCTTTAGTAGTGCAATGAACAGAAGGTGAAAACTGGTAGCAAGAATAGTTTGAGAGATTATATATGCCCACAGTTAGTTTTGCAAGCTGCCACACCCTTGCAGCAGATTAAGACATACAAATTAAACAAAAGAAACCTTACCAAGTACTTTCAGTGGAGCCTTTTCTAGATTCACAATAGCAGTTGCAAATGGGATAGCTAGTGTCATGTAATTGTTTGCGTCACTCATTAGTGGGCATTCTGGCAGGGTTAGAAACAGTCTTAGGGCTTCAACATCAGGCAAGGAACTAGTCAGTTTAGGAATAAGGTTCTTTTCCAAACTAGCTGCAACCTGGGAATGTGGTACAAAATAGATTCTGGTTTTAAACTAAAATCATTTTCTATTATAATAACTCATTTTACACTTTTTTTTAAATGAATTTGAACATAAACTTGTTTGTTTTTTTAAAACAAAACAAAACCCAGAGCTCCTTAATCACAATAAATGTTTTTTATAACAACTATTTTACAAGAATGATGAAAGTTACCTTTCATATCTGTTCTGGAGTACAACACACATTACAACATGAAAAATGCGGCCCTGAAACACAGTTTCATACTATGGAGTGTTTCTGTTCAGGGGTTGGAGCCATTCTAGTCAGACATAAAACTAAGCCATAGTTTGCTATCACCATGGTTTGCTGAAGAAACCAGGACCCCAACCACAGATGATCAAAGAAACTGTGGCTTGTTTTGCCTGGTGATTCCCCCCCCCAATCCTCTTGTGAATAGATGGCTGCTGAGCAGAAGGCCTTTGTGACAATCAACTTATCAACTTACCACTTCTTTTGCTACTGGCCAACTGCAGACAGGAAACGAACATTCTGCTCAAGATCCTTTAATGGCTCCAAAAGCCCCTGAGCAAAGTAATAGTCCTAAAGGTACTATCAACCAACCCTTTCCTTGCAATCCTCCTGAGCAAAAGTTCTGTCTGCTCTAGCTATTCTTTCAGTAACAACAAGTGTTTCTCAGAACTAGGAATGAACTGAGTTTATCAGGAAGTGAATGGGTGACAGGGGAAGCTTTTAGATCCAAATCTGCAACTGCATTTGTTGAACTGTTAGTATAGTCCTTCCTAAGAACAAAGGTGAGCTTTTAAACATATATCTCTCATTAGATATTAGGGGGAAATGCCCGTGGTCTCTTACTACTTTTCTTTCTCATAGGGCTCATCAGCAATGAGGCATGCAGGGTAATGAGCCTGTTACTGGGCACAGTAGTGAAGGATGGAGAGATCTGTTAAAAATATCAGTGATAACCTCTTAGTTGCATGAACAATTTCATTTTCCAGCTGTTTTTCCCTTAAACCTCTGTAGCCAGGCAAGGGCTTCTGAGCGATGTGACAAACTAAGCTCAAACCTAAGGATTTGAAGTTCAGAGGTAACTAAAAGCAGAGATTCACAAGCCAACTTCAAAACATAGTTTGAGATCATGGTTTGTTGGGCACAAACAAACCATAAATGGTTGGCCAGGATGCTCACACGCATAGCCAGAGCTCACCTGAACAACCCATGGATTAGTGTTATGCCCAAATCCAGTCATTGAAACACTAATTGAAGTACATTTTAAAAATCTCAAAATGTTGACAACTCTGTGGAGCTACTACAATTTACATTTTTTTAAAAGTATTGAATATTTCAACAAAGCATCAAGCATTGCATTGCAAACCTAAATTTACCAGTTCTGTGCAAAAAGAACCACCAATTGTTGTAACACAGTGTAATACCTGGGATTTGAAACTAGGTGCAGTAAGGATTTCAGGACAAACCTGCTGAGATATATGAGGATGTTCCGGCTGTATAAGTTTGTGAAACAGAAGTCGAGCAGTATTCATGTCAATCCCTGAGTATCTGGCACTAGTTCTGTAGTGATCATCATGGCTATGAAAACAAAAAGCAGTAAGTAAATTCTGCTTTCCACTACTTATTCTCTATACTTTTAAATGAATATGTAATTCTTAATTATTTCCAAACTTTCATTAAATCTTGTGGCTTGGGCATTAAAATATTGTGTATCACCCACTGACCTGACAGCTAAAAAACTTCCATTTAGACAGCCAGCTGAGGAAAATGTTCCGTCGATTTCACTATTAAAAAAAGAATAAGAAAAAATATATACACAAAGTTAAATTTACTACAATGTTCTAACAGTCTGTAATAATCACTGTTGACATTCTAGTCAATGGCAGTTCTTTCACCACACAAAGTCCTGGAATTGCCACTGGCAGAGTATCTGTCAGAAGACGGAGATGAGCAATACTGTATTCCGTTACTATACTCAGTTTCTTTTTCACAAAGAGAGCTCACTATGTTCTATCAGCCATAAGGGCCTTTAACACAAAATCTGTTTCCCAACTCCTTTATGCTTCAAATGTCTGGTACAATGGTCTATTTTCTAAGTTAGATGGGTTCCAGACTAAGTTCCTTTGGCTCCTACTTCAGGTCCCAAATTGTGTCCCTAATTCAATTCTATTGTTGGAAACAGGTGAATGTCCACTCTCCACTAAAGTGTGGTGGGCTGCCTTGAAATACTGGTATTTGGCCTGGGGAAGGGATTACTTTTACATCTAACCAAAAAAGAGTCTGTCAGTTCATGATTGAAAACTATGATCCGAAAAGCCTCATCAACTGGTCTTTCACCATCCTTTTTACATCATTTGGGCTATGACATTGCCCTTAAATCCCCGAGGCAAAGGTTATGGGATATTTTATACAGCGATCTTCATTCCATATCTTATGTAACCTGTGGACCGTTTGCAACTGGAATACACTATGGCCATGATTTTCAGTTACCATCGTATTTCATGAATCTGTCTGAACCTAACTATTGCCAATTATTCACCAAAGCCAGACTAAATGTAATCCCTTCAGAAGTACTAAACGGCAGACTGTCTGGTATACCCTATCAGAACAGGCTCTCCTTATGCTCTCAGGGTGTTGACTCTATGAAACATATCCCACTACACTGTGAGCAATTCAAACAAGCCAGGGATCATTTAATTAAACCCCTTTTGGTAAACTGGAAAATCCAAAACCTTCTACCTTAAGTACTTCCTTGGAGATATGTCAAATGATACTCTCCTGGCCATAGCTAAGTTCCTCTTGGAAAGAATAAGAAACAGAAACCTACATGCTCTGCATAAAACATAGTAACTGCCTTGGAATCCTTTCCCTGTATTTCTGTTTTATTTTGCTTTTGAAAATGTTTTTGTGAGTCTCTGGATCGAAATAAAGAATGTATGTATATTAATAGGTGAAATAGAGCATGTAAGCCAATGTTTACAGAAAAGCATCAATTCACAAGACATATTTCTATTTATTATTAGAGTCAGACACCTATCAATTCATTATAGAGCTATGATATGCTTGAGAGATACTGGAATCATGACCACTAGAAGACAGTACAGGAGTAGAATTAAGGGGACACCTTTTCACTTCTTACACGTTTATTTAAAAAATTCCAATTTCATTTAAAAAATAGTTCAGTTCTGCAAAGGGCAGATCAACCAATAAAGGTAGCAATACATACAGATAGCCATACTGAAAGGAAACATCCTATGTTACAAGAAAACATAGCTTAACATACACTACACTTGAAAAGACTAAAAGGAGAGAAACTTTCTACAAAGCCCAACCATATTTCTTAGTGAATTTAATGGACATTGTCATGTACGTTTCCTTCCCTCTCCCATTCCTACCGTAATCCTTTCCTTTAAGCAGAGCTCTTCCTATGTTAACTAAGCTGAGCGTCCATGAGGTAAGAGTAATACATTCAAATGCAGGAGCCAAGTGGATGGTTCTGTAAAGTTAAGCACACAACACCACTATCTGCAAGATATGCCCAAAAGTGCAACAACCACCATTCTTACTTTGCTATCTCTGCAGGGAGCCTCCCTGATCCTGAAGACGAGCAGTGCAGCAACCTCTGAATGAAGCCTTCGTTCACAGTCCAGATTTGCTTCGAAGCACATGGGTATCTGAAGTCATCTGGAGGTTCCAAATCCTACATTTTGAGTGGCAAATTATACACAGAAATATTCCGCCCCCCCCATTAACTAGCGCTAATTTCCAGAAATCCCTATATTTAGAGTTGCTACACCATACAACTTTGTTTCATGTTTACTCTTGAGCAGTCCACACATTTTGCTTTTGAACTTGTTGCATATAAACATTACGCACACAAGTTGGTTGGTTTCTATATTATCCGAGAAGATTTATAAAGGCTTTTAAAGAAATTGTTTTAAATTTTCCCTCTTTTTTTCAGGAGCGCTAATTGGAGCTCAGCATACATAATGGCCCCGATCCAGCTGTAGTCATGCTTTCCTGCATGCAACTATCACCCCCAGATTAATTCATTGAGTTCAATACACTCACATCAGTGCTTCACAGATTTCCCTTGCTGCAGTAGGGCATTTCAGGGCAAGGTATCCTCCATCTAAATTAAAGGCTGAATGGGCTGTTTTTAACAATATGATATAACAGGGATGGGGAACATGTGGTCCTTTAGGTGTTTTTGAACTCCAGCTCCCCCCAGCCCCCACCATCATAGCCAATGGTCAGGGATGATGGGAGTTAAAGTCCCACAACACTTGGAAGGGTCAAAAGTTTCCCATCCTCATAGGTGGAGAGCCAGGATGTACATAACAAGCTGACATCACCATAATGGACATTCATATCCTGTGTGTGATATAGAAGGAATTTTTATTTTATTTGCTTGAAAAAATTATATTCTGCACTTCATCCAGGGTGATGAATAAAACATAAAATATACTGTGATGAAACAAAGCAGATAAAAATACATCAAATTTAAAACGGTTATAAAATTATATCTAAAGAATGCAGACAGTTCCAATAAAACTTTGTACTTCTATGAATCCATACTTCTAGTTTACAGCTTTCCCTAACTTAAAATAAGGATTGTCTCAGTCACTAAACTCTAAATATTATGTATGCACACCAATCCTCAAAAAGAAAGATTGCTTTGTTTAGGAACTGAGTTTTGCTTTATCAGCTAACAAAATGAAGCTTAATTTTCTCTAAACAATTTACAAATAACAAATTTCAGATACTTTAACACCAAATCCTAAAGCATTTTGGCCACTTAAAATATGGGAAAAAAGTTTTATCTTAAGGTACAATAATACACAACTGAAGCTACACTAGTTGCACTATATTTTAAAGAATACTCTAGTGAAGCAAATGGAAAGCAACACTAATACAAAGTCAAAGTTCCAAGTATCAGATTCAGTTCTAAGCACTTTACTGAGTAAACACAGAAGCCAGCTTATGGATTTTAAAAATGAGATGAACTACCTGTAGAGTAACGTAATGTGAAAAGCTTTGGTCTCCACCAGAGAAAATCCTATGTACATAATAATATTCTTCACGATCTATAATTAAAATAGCATGATGTTAACATCAAGAGGATAGCTTGAAAAGAATTTGTCTTTTATTTAGGTAGGAATGAAATTGAGGGATGCCACTTTTGCAAGAACATCAGGTAACTTTTGCCAATAGCAGGTCTGCATACTAGCATTTTACACCACACACAGCAACCTTCCTTTTCGAATCACATTCACAATTATTGCTCTGCACTCTCATAGATCAACAAGTTCATTCAGAGAAAAACTAGAGTTGACTTGTATGGAAAATGGTGCAGCATTTATTTATTTATTTGGTAAGAATTTTTATTCATTTTCATCTTTAAACTGTTTACCATAGTTGCATTGAGATATATCTTTGTTTACATTAGAGCATAACATGCTGTGATTATATATAATTAAAGTTAAAAGTAAAAAAGTAAAACAACACAACAATAAACAGATACACATTTCTGAATATATTAACAACATTTTGTCAGTGTATATACCAAAATTATTAGTTATTATGTGTATTGCTTAGATCAGTGATCAAAATTCAAAGGTATTTTGTATCAACAACTATCAGAATTTATAGGAATTTATGGGAAGGGGGAAGGGGGGGAATAATAAAACTTGTACTTCACGCACACCAGACTGTGCTGTAAACTATGGGTACTGTTCCACATTATGTCTCATTATTTCTGTAATCAATAAAGTCACACCAGACTGCAAAAATCTGTCGTGTTTATTTTGGCCTCTTGCTACTTTTAATTTTGCTCTCAGTTTTTCTAATGCTGATTGCCAAACTGCATTATACCATTGGTTCATAGTTAATAACTGTAACGGTTTCCATGTCCTGGCAATGGTTGTTCTTGTAGCAGTTACTATGATATGTTAGGGGTCCTTGTTTCCAATTTGCAACATATTGGTGCAGCATTTATTGCTTCTATAGTAAACACAAAAATCTCATGAGGCAAACCCAGTCCCTTACCCATTATCACAATATAACTATTCTTAAAATAATTCCCCCAACACTCCAAAAATATATATACAACTAAAGAAAGCATTATTACCTGAATTTAGTGGGATGTCTCCATTATAAGGAAGCCAGTTTCCTTTCACTGGGAAGGGACTTTTCCTGTTACTGGTTGATCCCATGCCCAACTGTCCATTACCTCCAAGGCCAAAAGAATAAATTCTTCCAGTTGAAGGGACAAATGCAGATGTGTGCTGCCTAGTGCAAAGAAAGAATAGAAATTCAAGAAGTAAGAAACTGAGAATGCTGTAGTATATTACATATGCTATATGTGACTTATCTATCCCCAGTAATTTAAGAGAAGACAGTTGCAATGTTCTGTTCCGGGTATTAAGAGGGCGCGGCCTCTAAAACAGAACTTGTAATGCCTTGAGATGGAAGGCTACTGTGCCTATAGAACAGCCTTCATGCCAATCCAATTAAGTAATTCACTGGGCTGCATAAACTAATGTGCTAGCTAACTTACAGCAGTCTTTTCTTTATAATGGCACATAATTGGGGTGCCCAACAAGATTTTGAGAATTCCACAGCAGCTAGAGGTAAACTTGCTTCTTACACTTTTCAAGTTGCTAAACACCCCATAAAATTATTCCATTATGTGGTCTTACCTTCCACAAGCAATCTGTGTGACAATGCTCCCCATAAGTTCAAAAACTTTTCTTGGGTTTATCTCATGGCCAGTAGAGTTATGACCTAATTGCCCATAGCCTCCAGCTCCAAAAGTAAACACCCCACCTTCCTAAAAAACATTTGAAGTTAGAATGCAACTTGTAGATGACTCCAATACTTTTTATGTACAAAAATTAATAGTTACAACTGTGGAGAAGCACTAGATATTTGCCCTACACATATAAAAAATAAATTGCCTTTACAAACATGCTTATCTTCATAGATAGTTTAGTCTCTGCACAACATCCTCACTGTGTAAGAGTATAAACAATAAAATAAATTCACAGTAGTCCTGTACACCAAAAATAAATCACATAAACTTTTTTTTAAAAAAACACAGATTTTTAATTTCAAGTAATAAAAAATACCCATGCAAAAAAATCATGTAATCTTTAGCTGAGTTCCAACTTAAAAACACATAGTTGATTAAAAAAATTCCTAAATTAGTGATAATATCAGACTGGTAAACAAGATAATGTAAAATGCTATTAGTGGACATTGCGCCCTGCCCAATATAGTAGGACTACTATTTTCACTTTCATATTTATTTGTTTCAAGAATGACTTCAACTGCAGAGCAAGAATTGCTCAAGAGAATAAAGTGCATTTCTCCACATTACCTGAAGCAAGAGTTCAATTTTGAATTTAAAATCCCACAGGTTTTTAAATATAAGCTTTACGTTATGTACTGAGAAAGCAAACCGTATTTGTTTACAAAAAACCTAAACTATTCTTCTGTTTGCAGATACTGTAAATGTCATATTCCAATTCTGAATGTAATGACAGCTGTGTAAATAAACCAAAGTATGTTGCATTAAATCAACACACACACAAGACTATAAACTGTGCTTCAGCACTAGCAAGAGAGATGGCATCCATCAGCGGAGCAGCCGCCCACATGGTTATTAGAGCTAGGCTGAATGCAATGGAATATTTCTAAACATGAACTTATAAAGCTCTGAAGGAAAATAAGCACAAGTTCTCCTTTCTTTCTCCCCTCCTCTGCAAGTCAGCAGCAAGTGACACATTACATTTCAGCAGCTCTCCCCCCGCCCCCCGAGCTTATATAAATGCTGGTGTGAGCAGGCCAATGCAACATGTGATCTTGGCAGGTTCACTGACGTTGCCCAAGCTAGTGGCTCAGTACAACTGTAATGTGTGAATCTTCCCTCAGATGAAGGGGTTGGTGCGGGAGGAGTTCACACCCAATATTGGGCAACCATTCACTCTTGACAACAGTGCAGGGTTACAAAAAAGCAGACCAACTGGTGACATGAACATGTTTTCTCTCCTACAGATTGCTGAATCCCTCACTACTGAAGCAGTCAGCCTGCATGTGAAAAGCTATCAAATCTACTAATTAGTTAAGAGTGTGAAATACAGTATTTCTACTACAGTACCTTTGTAAGAGCCGCAGTATGATCTTCTCCACAGGAGATGTAAACAATTTTCTGGGATCTTAGTGACTTTAGAAGATTGGGAACATATCTATCTGAAAATTGTAATAAATCAGGAAGTGTAATATACACTTTGCAACAAATTACATAAAATTACATAAAAATAAATAATATAAACTACTGATTTACTACTACAATAGTTTATAAACTATTATTATATTATATAACAAATAGCTCTGTTGCACTTTGAGGTTTATAATTCCACAGTACGTGTTGTTCAGAAAAGCACTACAGTGCAACAAATAGCAAAGCGCCTGGAAGTTATGTAGTATTTTATTCACTATTTTGAAAGTACCATTATTTCCTACAATTAAAGCATGCAAAGCATTTCAAAGTTATTGCAGTACTGCACTGCAGTAATATCCACAGTTCCTTTCAGCAACTTTCAGTTCAGTGGATTTCTCATCCACTAACACAGACGCTCCAAGCATCAATTCAGCAGAGGAGCATAATTTGATTTTACAAAAATAAGCACACATTATCCAATCATAACTAAAATGGAAAGTAATATAGTTCATAGTTTTAAATTTTGTGTACTTACCATTTTCATCATTAAGACCAAGTTGGCCAAATTTGTTGCGTCCCCACCCAAAAACTGCTCCAGAAAGAGTAAGCACAAAGCTATGTGCTCCGCCCGCTGTAATTTGCGCAAAAGGTATCCCTTGCAAAGATTTTATCTGTTGTGGGGAAGTCTGCTTTTTGAATTCATAACCTAAACCTAGTTGACCATGTTTGTTCTGTCCCCAGGAAAAAACTTCACTACCTGTTAAAGAAAAGAAAAGACACACATTTAAGATGAAGAATAACTGTAGGAATTTACATCACTCTAAGAATTAAAATTACTCCACTATCATACACAACAGAATTCAAATGGTGGCAATAATTTTTCAGCCAAGAGAAAGGAGTACTTTTGAAATTAAATGCAAAAGAAGTAGGGTAGGCAACAAGTCCGTGAGTTACCACACACACATTTCCAAATAAAGCCCAATTCTCAATATATTAATAGTTCCAGGTATTGCATGGAATCTCTGTACATTTTAGAATTTGGAGATCAGTGGCAAACATAAATGCTCATAATACACACATTTCCTTTCCTTAACATGAGCAAAGCTGAAAACTTGTTTACTCTTTCTGTCCTCTCAAAGCTATTGAACACTGGCTATTTTACGATGTGAAATGTTTAGTGTGGTTTTTTCTATTGTCATTGTAAGAGTATTTTAAATTTATACAGAAAAACAAGCAGACAGTCCAGAGATTGATTACCTTTGGAGAGTGCAAGGGAATGATAGTAGCCGCAGGCAACCTGCACTATTTGGATGTCTGACAAGCTTTTTATGTTTCTGTAGGAATAACAAGACATAATTAAATGAGCAGCCTTCGCACAAAATGCTATAAAAACACAAAGCTTTATTTCCTTACAGAAAATGCATCTTAATCATTCCAGATATTATGTGGCATCATGGCCATATGCAACATTACGGTTCATTGTGATGTAAATGAGCTGCAGAAGTGTTGGACTCACATGCTACCCACTCCTGCCTGCATAGCTCAGGAGTCATTTGGAAGCTTTCACTCTCACTTTTAGTAAACCCCAGCTTGCCATATCATCTGCACCCAGAACTGGGATTAACATTATCTATGGCTAGTTTAAACAAGCCAGATTCATAAACTACTAATAGTTTACTGTTGACTTGTTAAACTAGCCATACTAGTTTGAGCTTGAAAAATTACAAAGATGCAAAGATGAAGCAATAAGCCCTTTTTACAAAAAGCAAAAGGAAAAATTTTTCTAAGATGAAAGGTTTTTTTTATTCCAAAAAACAACAAAAAAGCTTATGTTATCATTTAGTTTTACCTGGGCACTCTGGTATACTCCTCAGTTCCAGGCAAGCCAAGTTGTCCATCTGCAGCAAAACCCCAAGCATAGACTTGACCACTGTCATTTAATGCTAACGTGTGGGCTTCTCCACATGAAACAGCTACAATATTTTGAGCATCCAAGGCACTCACCTGCTCTGTAATCAAGAGAAAAAGCAGCATAATGTTACATTGCTCTTGCCCAAACATTTCCATGATGGACTGCACAACTGAACTAGCAAAAATGTGTTCCTACAAACATGTCAGATCTCCTTTACCTGAGGTCAGAGGTGCTACAAGCCACAATCTGTGCCTAATAAGGATTGTAGTTTTTCTTCCTCTCTTAAGAACCAAACTTATGCTACCTATATATTTTCACCCTTGGGTGAAGTAACTGCTTTGGTGGGGGAGGTAATTTTAATCACTAAAGTGACACAGCGGATGCTGTCTCTCAGTGCCATGGTCCCTATCCGATTGAGGGAGCCCCAATAAAAATCGAAGATTCTATCTCCTGAATCATATGTAGTTGCACCTTAGTAGCTATCTAGTGAATTCTATTTTAGAACAGAGTTGAACACTACAGTGCTATCAATCAGCGGCAGTACATGAGGTAGACACAGTGGCAACTGAGGACTAGGCAGTTTTGTAGACTAAAGCATTTTCAATAAAACTATTTCTAGAGACCCCACTTCGTATTACCAAAAATTACTTCATGTTTAGTCCAATTAGTGTGTCATTGGCATAAATAGAAAAAAGTACCTCAGTGGTTCCAAGCACTGAAATCAAGCTGCTGCTGCTTTAAGAATTTAAAATATAACACACTTAATGATCAACTAATGTTAATACATAATTTCTCAGACAAAAATAAAAAGTCAACAATACATTTTAAATACTGCCTCTGAATGGGCTACAGTTCTCTAGAAATTAAAAATAATATAAAAAACAGATCTCCAACAATTTCTTAACAAAATATCTTGTTGCGTTTTCAGTTCCATATAAATAGAGGCTTTCACGCAATAGCAGTGGTACAAAAGTCAGAAGGGAAAAAAGAGCAGGTCCTAGAAGCTCTACTAATTCTAGAAACACTTCCATAATCTAAGCAACTGCTGCTGCAAGTATAACTGGCACCCACATACAGAACCTAAAGCAGTACGATTATCTAACAGGCACTGTTTTAACTTACCTGGTCTTTTCCTGGATTTTTCATGTCCTAATTGTCCTAAATCATTACATCCACATGTATACACAGTCCCATCATCCAAGACAAACACAGTGTGTCTTAGTCCACAGCCTACATCTCGAACCTTTTTGTTTATGAAAAAGTTGCATCTTCTGGGTTCTAGGACAACTTCTTCATCAATGCCCCCCAATCCAAGCTGTCCAAAAGAGGCATTTCCCCAACATAACATGTTGCCAGCCCTCTCAATTATCTGCCAGCTTCAGCATTCAAATGTCCAGCATCACTGTAATGGAGTAGAAAATAAGTTAGTACTAGAATACAGGTGACTTGGTATTTATAATAGGATTCACAAATTTCATCTCTCAATTATTGTGATTAGCCCAAATAAAAACACTAAGAATTTCACATCTCATTAGAAGAATTCTATAGCAGAAAAATGTAAATATGACTGTTACATGTTCTCTAAAATATTAATCATCTATCTAATTTTAAATAAGCATTTTGCTAGAGCTAGTATTTTTGGACCTCTAAATATAAGAATTGCAAACATTTATTGCAGGCCAAATGTGGTTGCTATGTGTTACTCCTACAAGTGAGTAAGATGCAAAAAGGCATAACCAGAACTATTATGAAACCAGTAATGGCAGCAGGGTAGAAAGCACCACAACGGCAAATCTGAAAGGATTTTTTACTGCAAGACAATTTTTTCTGCTGACTATAAATTCAGCATGGAGATTAAATTTTCTGGGCATTTGAGACTTGGAAAAGAACAGTTCTCTCTTCCCCACCATTTTTACACATTTTCTTTCATGTCTTTACATTTAAGTCAACCCCTAAGATTATATTTAGTCCAATCCTAAGCATGTTTTACTTGATAAGTAGATCCCACTGAGTTCCATGAGATTTACTCCTAGCTAGGTATGCATTGGATTGCAGCTTTAGACTGAAAACCACAAGACAGTTAACAAAATCCAGCCACACTTACGAGACACTCAAGATGGTGCTGCTAAGAGCTGGAACATACTTGTAAAAAAGTGGCCTTCAGACATCCATGCCAATCACGGCAAATTCAACCTATGTTATAAGAACATAATTAGGTAAAAGTTATGGGAATTCACATTTCTCCAAACCCAATCACATATCCCCCCCCCCCCACTTGAATATCACTGAAAATAGAATTTAAAGAGAGCCCCTAGCTGAAAAAGCATGGTAAATCTTTGCTTCCTCCAGTATCAACCATTCAGGCCCTACAACTGGCAGGGGGGTGCTGTTAGTGGTGGTTCCCCATATGTGGAATACCCTTCCCCAGTTAGGTATGCCTGTCTTCTTCATTATTAAAATGCAAGAAGAAGTGAAAAACATTCCTGTCCACCCAGGCATATAGTGGCTGAAAGAAACAGTTCTTGGCAACCCTGAAATCATTAGATATGAGGCTATGTGACTGGTTTTAACTTTTTTTTAGATCTTCTAATTGTTTTTAAATGTTTTGAAACACGTCTTTCAATTTTCATTATATTGTTTTATTGCTAGGTTAATTGCTGCCTTGAGCACCTTTCAAAGAAACAGCAGGAGTGAAATTTAATAAACAACAAAAATAATAATTAGATTAAAATGTGCTAGAAAATATATATCACCCTTCTTCAGAAAAAATAAAAGGGCTTATTCTACTTTCAGTGCAATGAAACAGGCACACAGCAACACAAGGTTACTCAAGCAGATCCAGAGAGTTTTCTATATAGCTCTCAGCACGCTTATGCATATTTCTATGATTCATTTTCACCATTTCTTTTAAACAACTTAGATCCTAGATATCTGAAAGACAGCCTCTATCCATACTCATCTTCTCAGGTGTTAAGATGTGCAGAGGGAGCTCTCTTGGTAGCTCTGCCATGCTTAGAAGTGTGAGAAGTGGCAGCTTGGGAGATGGCTTACTCTGTGGTGGCCCCTAAATTATGGACTTCCTTCCCATAGGGGTGCATCTAGGGTCTTCACTATACAGCTTTCACCATATGCTGAAGAAGACACTCCTCTTTGTACTCACCTTTGATAGTTAAGTTCTTTTGCTGAATTTATACTATTCCATTTTCCGACATAAAACAATAATGACGAGGCTAAACAACCAGATCAATATTTTTGAACACTAGATACAAGGAAGTCTTTATCATCCACTAGAATGAACACTATAATGGCAATATCAAGCAAATTTATTCTCTCACTAATTCAGGGGCTGTGCTGTCCTGCCATGCCATATAGTTGTATAAACATTTTTATTATTAGAAGATTAAAAAGCAAAAATTCCTGAATTAGAAAGGGTGTGGGGGGGGGGCGTAATACGACAAAGCTTTACTGTATTTCTTTCTATTTAGGTGAATAATGGTTTGTTTTAGTCATACACCCAATAACTCTGAAAAGATTTACTGTATGAACCTAGAGCTTTCCAGAAGCACCTACAGTATGAATCATTGTTGCTACATCACTTATACGAAGCACAGTACTGCTGTGGATGAACACTAGCAATATCTAAATCTCCAGATGTCTAAAGACTAGGGGCTTATCCACATCTTTTGCCCCACTCTTTCTGCACTTTGCCCAGCAGCAAATTGGCAGATCTCTAAGCACAGATATTACATGCTGACAAGGCGTCACTACTGTCAACAATCATGCTGTAGCATTCTGTACTAACTGCAGCTTCCCGATTTCAAGCATGAGGGAAGCCCCACATAGAGCACATTGATATGGAGGGTAAACTTACACACAAGAGCTACTTTCTGTCAACTATGGATGAAAAACAGTGCAAAGCCAAGTTCCAAAATGGTTTTTTAAAAAAGGACCACAACTTCCATTTTCAAACTATTGCACATTCCAAAACATATCTCCTTTATGCCTACCTCCATTAAGCTCACAACTTAATGTAGCAGGGAGTTACTGTATATGTCTGCTAGAATTTCCTGATCCACATGTGTAACTACTGCATCACCATAAAAGTTTTAAAATTCAAATTATTTCAAAGATGAAAATTAGTTGGTATGGTTAAAGGCACACACAGATGATTTATATTCTAAGCCATGGATGGGGCTTACCAAACTAACCCTTCAAAGGGTGTGTAACTCTGACTTGGCAGCTGCAGTTATGAAACCACTCTGACTAGTACCAAATAAATTGCAAAACACCCACTTGCAACTCAACATACCTTAAGTATGTCTAATGGGGAGAAGGAGAAGAGAAATGCTATGATTTGCTATCTCTGTGGTTCTAGGTTAACAGGAACTGTTGCACTAAAAGAATCATTGGATGAGGGAGCACTGTGGCTACAATATTATGCTCACTTACTTGGAAGTAAGCCATACAGAATATGATGAGACCCACTGAGTAACCAGTTGAGCTTATATAGTTTATCTAGGTCAACCTTTTAAGCATTGGCTGAAGGCTATGTGTTTGGACAGGTAGCATTAAAAAGTGAGCACCTTCTGACACAGGGCTCAAGTCAAGTCTCCAACAACTTTACAGTAGCTCTTTTGTCCCGTCCCCCTTCCCATTTTTGGTGAAGCTGGCGGAGTTTGACATTAGTAAACATCCAGATGTAGGAGAAGCATAGTTGCAGTCCTAGATACACTTATTTGGACCTACTTGAATAAAAGGCTGGGGTGCATATTTTCGGTAAGGTCAGCTCTTTCAGGCCTTGACAGATCACTGCCCTGAACAGAGGTGAAATTGGCCCTCAGTTTCATTTCAAGCTCCTTCTCTCAAGTTTCAGCTTTCATTTCAATACAGAAGCCCTCTGTACTTCTGCAGCAAGGCTAACTAGGATTCCCATCTAGATGGGTATTTTGGGAGTTTGCTGTATTATCTTATTTTGAATTACTGTACTTTTAATGTATATTTAATTTGAATTTACTATGCAGTTCACAGCTCCGGTAACCTTTGGACTAACAGTGGCAAATAAATAAACTGTAACATTGCTGTCACTTGTTTCTTACTTGTATGAGGAAAAGCGTATTGGTAGCCTTCTAACCAACTGCTCACTAAGAAGTAAAAAAGAAAAGAAAAGCTCTTGCCTTCAGATGTCCCTTCCAATGATGCAAAGGTCACTCAGTAAGCACTGGGTACTTATTAACAAAATAAGAATGTAAATATATTTAAACGAGTACTGTACTGTCTTCACTTTAGATATACCCAACTACCTGTATGTAGGCTCCGGCTATTCTAGGCTGCTGGTGTTTTAGTCACGAAAACACACCATCCTGCATTTGCTCAACACAACGGTTTTTTCATCTAAAAGGCCTGCGACTGGATTCAAAACATATATATAATTATTTAGCAGGGTTCGTTCCCCCCAGAGGTTTCGGCAGCCCTGCATGTGGAGCGCCCCACTTTTTCCTCACGCACCCCTCGGGAAGAGGGGCGAGTGGCAGCTGTCAAACCCCACCAGACCCCAAAAGGCTCGTTCCTGGCGGCGCTGCCCCTCCGCCCACCGCCGCCTCTTCGTGAGTCACGAGGAGGCTGAAGAGAAGCCCCCCACCCCGACCGAGGCCCCGGAGAGCCCCAACTCTCTCCCGCAGGCAGCAGGGCTCCGCTGACCCTCCCCTTCCCCTCTTCCAGGCCCCGCGCTCCACCCCGAGGTCCGCGCTCTCCCGCCGGCCACCTTACCAGCCCAGAAAGCCCGCTTTCTCCTCCGCTTCTCCACCCCCGAACACAGCGTGGACCCCCTCGGGAAAACACACACACAGCAAGGCCGCCCTGCCCTGCCCTGCCCTGCCCTGCCCGACTCACGGCAGCCTCCTGCGCGACAGCGTCCGCCCCCGCTTCTCTCCTCCGACGGAGGAAGCTGCCGGGCTGACTCGGCCCGATGATTCCACCCCAGGCGGGCCCCGGAGTGCGGCAGCGCCGAAGCGGGAGAGCAGGCGGGCGGGCGGGCGCGCGCGCCGAGAAAACAGGCCCAGCAGCGCCGGCTCGCCTTGCTCGCTCTCCCTCGCAGTGCGCAAGCGCCGGGCCCGCCTGCGTCGAGCAGCCGAGGCAGGCGGGAAGCACGCTCAGGCTCAAGGGCCCCCTCGTGTTGCTTTCGCTGACGGGGGAGAGATGGGGTTGCTTATTATCTACCCCCTGCCTTGCTCTCTAGAAGCTGAGGGAAATGGTAGCAAGTCCTTTCACGTCTCCACACACTTTTTAAGTAACTCAGTGGGACCCACTTCACTGCGGAGTAAGTCCCCCACCTGCTTCTGAGTAAATTAGGATCAGGGCCCAGGGCTATTTTAGACTGCAAGGCTCCTAGGCAAAGGATGCCGCCTTTTATAAAATATTGTGGGGGGGGGGGGGAGGTAAGCCCAGCCCCGCATAATCGACCACAAGACGGAGTGGGTGAACACCATTTGAATGGCAATGCCCATTAATTTGGGGGGAGGGAGGCCTCAATTTTTTTATTGGGGGGCCGAAGTGACCTCAGCCCCTAGGAGTTGCCTCCTATGGTCTTAGGGCAGTGCAGGGACTTGCCTTTTCTGCCTACTATTATGTTAATACTGTAAAACGCCCAAATATATTTGCTGAGGGATGCCCTATAATACGGCTTAAAGGCATCGTAAAAACAATTTTGTGACAGTAATTGATTCCCACAGATTTGCATACGACTAGAAGGAATAGTTCTGAAGAATAGCGCCCATGGACTTCTTTTGTTTCTTTGTTTTCCTATGATGCGTACACACATGTCACAGCAGGCACCACCAGCAGCAGGAGAGAAGTTTCCTCCCGTGAGAAGGAAAAGGGAAGGTCTGTTCTAACATGCTGCCTGCCATCTGTGGTTTTGGCAATTACTTGTATGGAAAGTAGTTAACATTTTTTTAATTCACTGGTTAATTGGAGACACGTTTCAAATCAAGCAGTGAAAAGTGCTAAATTGACACTAAATGGTTAAACTATGAGTAAAGCAAAAATAAGAAAGCTCACGATTGCAGCCTAAGACACTTAATATACCTGTTTCTGTTGGTATAATTGTAGGGAGTTTGAATGTGATGCAAGGCTCTTTATTAAGGATTTTTTCTCTAGCTTTCTGCTGTGCTTGGTCCTTAATAATTCAAAACTTGCTTTTTAAAAAACTAAACCAAATTATCTGTTTTCCTTTTGTAACTCAGTCTAATTAACCTCCACATTATAGGCGGCATTCCTTTGTTAGGCAGACTGCATGCCAGGATAGTTGATAAAGTGTTTCCTCAATAGGAGGAAATGGTCAGGAAATAATTAGAGATCAGAACTGTGAAGGTGACACATTTCATTTCTAGCAAATGCTAGATTAAGAAATATATGTGAAGTAAGAAATATATGTGAAGGAGCAAAAGAAGCAGGTTTTCAACCAGAGGGTGAAGAGAGAAAATTGACCTGAAAGCTTCAAGCATCTTGGGGTGCAAGGTGCATCTCTTAAGGAATCTCATGTAAGGTAGCAGATCTGTTGCCTGGTTAGAAATATGTGTTCTTTGCCTTCAAAGCACATATTACAAAATTATCCTCAGTTTCCAGTGCTCTCCGAAGCAAAACAAAAGCAGTTAGCACTGCCCCTGGAACTTCTCATTATTTGGGGAAGTGGGATTTAGAATCAGGTTGTAAATTCTGTGCTGCCTATTAAAACTTTCATATTGTTATAAGGGGTTTTTTTGGTGGGGAGGGGACCCAAGAAATTAATGGAAGTCAGAATCTAGGTACTATTTGGAGTAAGATTCCAGGCCAGTGGAAAAATGCAAGCTATTACCGCATTTTTCGCTCTATAACACGCACTTGACCATAACACGCACATAGTTTTTAGAGGAGGAAAATCCGTAGGCATGCCACCCGTAGGCATTCCCTCCATAACACGCACAGACATTTCCCCTTACTTTTTAGGAGGAAAAAAGTGAGTATTATGGTGCAAAAAATACGGTACTTCCTTTCCAAGCCAGGGCTTCACCTGGGAAAGAGGAGTTAACATGACAAAAGGTGTTGATGGGCCATCAAAGAGGAATCCTTAGGCCTGGGCAGGCAGAGGTTGCCAACCTGTCTGGGAGGGGGTTTGATGTGAAACAAAATTGTGCTGGTTTTGAAATGAGAGCTTTGAAGAAGCAGGGGCCACATGGAAGAATGGTTTCCCTGAACAGAAAAGGGGCAGAGTTCCTGGGCAAGGGATTTTCCGGAAAGAATAAAGGAAGTAGGTAGAACCCTATGTGAGGCGGCTGGAGGTCAGAACCATCTTGGAGCTGGCTGGGAAGCAGGAACAAAGGGATGGTGCTTAGGGTTGCTCTGTCTGCAACATTGGGCTGCTTTGAAGAACAAGCTGCTCTTGAAACGACAGTGCTGTAAGATCTGCACGCCCTTCATCTCAACAGGTGTAAATATGTGTAATTAAAGCATATTTCTAAAAGATGCTAAAGCCTCTGCTGCGCCTTGCTTCTCAGTGGGAACAAGACCTTGGAACCCCCTGGAATCTTGCACACTGCTCAGCAGAGAATTGTGAGACATGAAATCTTCATAACAGTATGTACAGTGGGCATTAGATGTGTTACATGTTTAAAAATTAATTGGACAGCTGTAATACATACAGGTAGATTACATCCACATAAATCTTCAGAACACAAAGCATAACAGAAAAGCACTTTGAAATAAGCAGTAACAGTAACTTTACTCATTTTTTGGTGACTGTCTTTAAAGTGCCAGAACAGCATAGTAGCATGCTGCAGTTCATAGAAATTATTTAGCGTTTGGAGGATCCATTTTTATTTTTTAAACATGAAAGAAGTGATAGGGAATATTATCAATTAGTAGAGGAAAGTAATGGTTGTCTCAAAAGACTCTCAGTTCTCACAAGTCTAGCAGCTAATGATCAAATTGTAAAGCTAGGATGCCACTGCTTTGGGGAATAGTTGGTTCCTACCTATTACCTCCCATACTGGTGAGTGTGAATGCTTGGTTTTTTTTAATTCTGCTCATATGAATCACAATCAGTGGCAGCACATCTGAATAAAAAGAACTCAGTACATTTCTCTGTGTTGTGATTATATCGATCTGTTCAAGTAGCAATGTCTTTGCCTGCAGGCAGAGGGAACCAGACTCTTATGCTACAAAGCAACAGCATAATTACCATCAGGACCTATGGAAACAAGTGGCAATGTAGACAAGAAGTGATACTTGACCATTAAAGAATACTTAGATATTTTTGTATTTAAACCTTCTTTTCATAATTAGTAAAGAGAATTGATAATCTGTTGCAAGTCTGCAAGGGCTAACATCTTTATATTCTACTGGGTACTAGTCTTTAGTTATCAGTACTGTCAGTTATTGAATTGTCTGCGCTACAATTTAAAAGCCAGTTCATACATAATGAATAATTGTCAAGCCCTCTTAGCTAAAGAAATTTCCCTTAAAATATTGCTGCAGTTGTACTTATGCAGGTGGTGTTGATGTTAGTGTGTATCACTGTATCTGATGGTTGCCCAAGTGGAAGGCAGCTTACCCAGCCAATGTTTCTCTCCCCCTCCTTACCCCTATAGCCCCCATGTACTTCTAAAACATTGTCCGTAGGACTTAGGGGCTCTGAACAGTGTGGGGTGTATTATACAGAGCTGCAATGGAAGGCGGAGTCCTATGCTGTTTCCTGTTCTCTCTTCATCTTATTAGAGATTAGAACACATAAATAGTGCTATAGTTGTTTTTGGCCAGCTTGGTGTAAGTGAGGCATTGGGCTTTGGGAAGGAGGTGTGAGGGTCTATCACACCCAGCAGTGTGACAAATCAGTGTGCAGTCTGTAGGTTCTGTGTCGAAGTACTCTTGTGGCCCACTTGGTATGAAAAGACAGAGGTGCGAATTACAAGAGAAGAATATGCATCAGTGCAATTATATATACTTAACCTTAGTTTCTGCTTGCAAAGGTTAAGCTGCAATTGTGGGTTTAGATAAAGGTCTTAAGGAGAGAGGTGGCAGCACTTAGATGTTCTGGATGCAAGTTTTAGCCAATAAATGTGAGTGCTCAGGCCAGGGTCAATCCTGTGCACACTTTCTTGGGAGCAATCCCCATTGAACTGAACAGACTCAAAGGTAAAGGTAAAAAGGTAAAGGACCCCTGGACAGTTAAGTCCTGTCAAAGGTGATTGTGTGGTGACGCACTCATCTCTCTTCAGGCCAAGGGAGCCAGCATTTGTCCACAGAAAGCTTTCCAGGTTATGTGGGACTGCACTGTTGAAGGAGAACACATTCTTCTCATAGGCCTTTGGTAAAACTGTTTAGATTGTCTGAGGTCTTGGATTACAGAGAGTTTTAAGTCTGCTGCTGTGTTTTCTCCATACAGTACTTGAATATCTGCTTGCATTCTTTTAAATTGTTGGTTTGTTGTTTATTTTGTATTTAATTGTGCTTTTAGTAACTGACCTGTGAACCGCCCTGGGAACTTTTCAAATGGCAGGCAGTTTAGAAGTCTACTAAATAAATAAATAAATTAGCAAAGCCAGGAAACAATTCTGGAGATAAATATTGGGGACAGATGCCCCCCTTCAGTCCCTACACTGGATACATATCCATCTCCCTTTCCTTCCCTTCACAAATTTCATAATTTTAGCACCCTCTGCTGTCTAAAGTTCTTGTTTTGATCTGGCAGCAGAAGCCCAATAAAGTAGAGGCTGGAAGAGGGAATTCCACAGTCAGGCAACTTACTCCTGAGAAATTTCCTTTAGTACCTTAATGTGCATTGCCACAAAGTACCAAGTGCAGCCCTACTGTAGATCAAAGTGAGACCACAATTCAGGAAAGGGGGGGAGGGAGCTCAAAGCAGTGCCACATGCTGCTGATTTTGAAATGACACCATGTCTTTGCATGGCACTATGATGAAGTACCCTAAAATTAGCCTTCTTACTACTTTGTCAAGACTGCATGCAGGGAAGCAAGTAGCCTTCAGTGGGGAGAGGAAAGAGGCGCTGGAGAGGAAAGACCTGGGACTCACTCACACACAAGCAGGTCACGCCACTTCCCTCACGGTGAGCTGAGCTGGCTTCTATTCAAATTTCCACAATGGATTATTTAAATGTGATCCATTGCGTGCAAGTGTTCTGGGATGGAGGTAGGGAGGATATTACAGTGAAAGCACCAGGGAAAGAGAAGAGTTGTTTACTACTTGAGAATTGGTGGGGTGAGCAGTGGGATGAAGGCAGTTTAATTTTAAAAGAAAAGGGTAGGTTTTATATTCTCACATGTTTTTGTAATGGCGTTGAGGATGCTTGTTCAAAGCCTAGTTGCATCAAGGGCCTTTACCACATGAAAAAGGATTGAATAGAAGGAGATTATCTTTAAAACTTAGGGCAGCAAGCTTTACAGCTAAAGTAATAGTTTGACAGTTCTGGACATAGCTTTTCTATTTATTTAGAATATTATGGTTTTGATGTGACTACTGTACAATAAGGGAGAAATATGAAGCTGGGCTCTCTCTTTTTCTTCTAACAATGAGCGGTAGCCATTTATCAACTTGGAAGTTACCTTACACACCTCCTTCAGTATCTCAAAAAAGTACCTACGGTAACTAGAGGTTTAGGTAAATGCACATTTATTTAAATGTAACCAGTCTCTTCAGTTTAATTTAATGGGCTCATAGCCCTAGTAAAAATTGGGCTTATTTCTTTTCTTCCTGGGCTCCCAGTCTGAATTTTCCCTGATGTTTCCCTCTCCCCTCACAGAATATTTCTGAGAAGCCACAATATTCACTTGGGAATAAAGAGTGCTGTAATGATGCAGGAATAGTTGCAAGTGAGGGAAATGGGGACAGTGGGGGCAGGAAGATATAGAATGAATGTTAATGCATTGTCACATGTTTTGTGGATGTGACTATAAGAAGAAATACTGAAACTGCAGGAGGGAAAGAAACCTATAGAATATTTGTTTAAGGAGGCAAGGAGGACAATAAGCAGCACAACTGCTTGGATGGTTGAACAGTGAACAAATTACAGAAATTAGGGCCACTGTCCACACGCAACAGTTCCAAAACAATGTAAGGAAAGCAAGGATAGTATCACAGGACTTCCCATATTTAACTTCCTGGGATGAAGGAAGAGGTTTCCCAAAAGCATCCTTTAACCCCATTAAAAAAATATCAAACATAATAAAGCTGCTCATTATGGAAATAATTTTAACCCCTTCCATGAACCATAATATTCTTAAGCTTCCCTGGGATACTTTTCCTACTGTAATAGAAGTCAATAGGACATTCCCCAGAAAACCAGTTTGATATTAAAAAAAATAAATCCTGGAAGTAAAGAAAAGAGACCTTTTCACCCATGTGAATATAAGTTATGGTCCAGGAGGCAGATCTACATATTTTAAATAACTGGCCACTCATTCTTGTGAGAGAATGGAGTAGTGAATGAAGCCATAGGTTGTGATAAAAATAATGAAATGCTGTTCCCTGTTTGTACCTATTTGTGTTTCCAAAGCCAGCCAGGTCAGCACATTAGCCAGCCAACATCGTGTTCCTCATTTCATCCTGAACAGTGAAGAACTGGTGAGTGATGATACCTTCTACATTCTATCTGCAAGCTTGGTGGTACTAGCTGTACCTCTCCTAAGGCAGTTGCTAATGGTCAGGTGTTTCATTCGCACAACACTATGAAGTTTCATAGAGGCTATGATGTCTGAACTGTAAGGCCAGGTTATCTATTTGTGGATCAAAGAAAGTGCTTTCTTGTAGTTCCTCTCAGCATAGGAAGGATTCCCAAAATCCACCTACTCCACAGCATTTTAAAATAAATCATTATAGTAGTACTGCATACTGTATAAGGAATTTACTTAATTGTTTATGTAGGTCAAAATCTATATTTCCGTGACCTAAAAGCAAACAACATATGATGTGCCCTAAAAATAAATATTTTGAATCCTTTTTCTGGCATTCATTTCTGAACAAATGAATGTGCCTAGACCTCTGAATCTCCATTTTCCAGGGTACCAGTTCACTCATAGAGGTGTATGCATTCATGCGTTCAGGTATGTGCAGGTAGACCCCATGCAAATGTTACCTTTAAAAGAGTGAAGGCCAGCCAAGAGGTTTACCCTCAAACATGCATTCCATGTTCATTTGTGCACAAATGAATGTCAATAAGAACCTTGAAATGCAGTGAGCGCATGTTCCACCATACATTAGAATATATGTTTATCTTCACCCTAATATGAAAATGTGTCATACGATATGCTCTAGACCAGGGGTCAGCAAACTTTTTCAGCAGGGGGCCAGTCCACTGTCCCTCAGACCTTGTGGGGGGCCGGACTATTTTTTTGGGGGGGCAATGAACGAATTCCTATGCCCCACAAATAACCCAGAGATGCATTTTAAATAAAAGCACACATTCCTCTCATGTAAAAACACTAGGCAGGCCCCACAAATAACCCAGAGATGCATGTTAAATAAAAGGACACATTCTACTCGTGTAAAAACAAGCTGATTCCCGGACAGTCCGCGGGCCGGTTTTAGAAGGCCATTGGGCCGGATCCGGCCCCCGGGCCTTAGTTTGCCTACCCATGCTCTAGACTATTAAATGTACATTCACAGCCTATATACAAACTTATATTATCCCCAGCCCCTAAATAACTACCCAATTGAGAATTCCTGATAGGGGGAAGGAAGTTCCTAAACCAGGGTGTGGCAAGCAAGAGTGACTTTCTAAATAACTTTTACATTTGCATGTGACACATGGAGAGTGCTATCAAGTGGCCAACCTCAGCTGACCACAGAAATTGTGTGGGACATATGAATAGTAGATATTTATAGGCAACAGACTTGATACAATTTTTAACAACTATCACCTGCTTAGAACTTTTACATGTTAAAATGTGTTGACCCGCTGTCACAACCATAATTTCATAAGAGCCTTCCTTACAATTCTTACTGCCATGGTTTTCCACTGAGTAATGACTTAATATTTGACCCCAAAGTTCATACGCATCTTGGTGTGTTTGTGTAGAAGTGTAAATTGAGTGTCCACAATGCTGTGCACAGCAGAAAGATACTCTTTCTTTGCTGCCCTGGGCAGGGTTGGACCTACTGTTAGGTGGAGTGAAGCAGCTGATTTTGGACATCATGAAAGGGCAGCAAATTGATAGTTACTTACTTAATTTTGGTATTTTTTTACTGTCACGGGAGAGGAACATGCACTTGTGGGATTTTCCCACCTCAGGTGCCAAATTAATTTGACGGGCTCTGAGTATTATGTATCTTGACTTGAAGCAGATGGGGAGGGCAGGGGAGATCTCTAGTGAAATTCCAAACAAAATATTTTAATGTGCCAGTAATTAGGATATTTGTGATTATACTAGTCATGTCAAATGGCTGATATTTAAAACCTAAGAAGGTTAGGAAATAACCTAACACAGTTATATTATTAGACTTTACAATGTTTCTCAGAAGTGAAATTCACTGATTTATTGTGGTCATTTTGGATAGTAAGATGGATGCAGCCTTACTATGCTACCCCTCCATATAGTTCTAAGGTCTGTCCCTTGGCTTCCACCATAGGCTTGGTCAAGGAGTGAATCCCTTTTGTATTCTTGCACCAGCTTACTAGTACTAGTGCCAGAACCTCAAAGCCTTAAAAATCCTGAATCCTTACCAGCTGCTCTCTGTCCCCTGCAAGTTGGTAGCTGTCTGAATTTCCCCCTCTTAATAGTTTAGTGCACTGTGCACAAGGATTGGCCACTGGTTGGGACCTAAAAATGGTTTGAGCCCTGACCAGCCCACCATATTCCTTCTTTACTGATCACACCAGCACTCTTTTTCTGGTGAGAAAGAGAGAGAAGCAAAGGAGAAAGAAATAGACAGTACAGAAAGGGGTTCTGTGATGCAGATTGGCGTTAAAGGTGCTAAAAAAATGCAATAAAGCATAGGCTGGAAATATTTTTGTTTTGTAAAGGTCATTATTTCCTTGCCCTTCTCCATCTAAAATACTATGGGAAACTTCTACATTGTTCTTCACACACAGCGTTTCTTCCGCTCTAGGCCCCTCCTAATAGATTTTCTATAAAGAGCAATCTGAACAAAAGACTTCAGTTACCACCACCTGGTGCCTTTACATTAGAAATCAACAGTTCACCGCCTAATATACAAAGATACAAATGCATGCAATCTGTCACTATAGGTACCTAGCAAACTAAAGCACATCTTATTTTTCAAATAAAACGAACAATTGAATGAAAATCATAAAATGAATCTGTTGCATCTTCCAGATTAAAATGACAAAACTGACAGCTTCTCATATATTTATATTTCATATACTCTGTACATTTGGCACAATTTGAAGGGTTGGTTCAAATTGTAATCTCAAAATTCATTCTAAGTATGGAGGATTTATTTCTCAGGAGTGCTTGAACTGATAGAAAACAAAGCCTAGTGAATGATAAAAGTAATGATGCAGTTTAAGTTAAAACTGAGTGGCCAACATAAATTTGTTCAGCTACCAATTCTCTTGAAGCCAAACAGTTTCTTCAACCTCTCTCATAACTCATTCATGTTAATAGACAATAAAATCTTAATTAAAAACGTTAGAACTGCAACCTGTGTTTTTTTTAAAAATACACACAATCTTTTTCTAATAATTGGAACTGGCAGCTACTGTTGTAAGCAGCTGTTAAGTAAGGTTATTGTTTTGCTTTCTCTTTAGGATTTCTAATAGCTTAATTAGAGTTTCTTAGACTTACCCAAATAATTGTTTTTTAAAAGATCATTTGTTCTAAGCTTGTGAGCCAGGTCTGCTCTTCCTTGTTGGAGAAAACAATTATGCATATCACTGGGGAAAGAAGCTTTAATTCATAGCTAGAGAGATTTCTCCTCGGTCACACATGTACTAACTAGTCTAAAAAGGCTTATGTTAATGCATAGTCTGTCATATCAGACTATATTTTAAATGCTATGACCTGTTCCGTTTTGCCCAGTCATAGTGACTCAGCTGATAATTTAGGCATTAGGAAACACATTGGCTCAGGAAGCAAATTAAAAAGCTCAGGAAAATATTCTACCTTAACTTTATAGTATAGGCATTTAAGCAACTTTTCTGTGGTGGTGGGGTACATGGGATATATGTTGTTTGTTTAATGGGAAACAGAGGGATTAGCTGGAATTATAGGTGCTTTTCATTAAATGTTACCCACCACACAACAAACGCACACCCCTTTTGGCTATCCGAGGGACACTTTTTGCCATTCCCTTGGTGGCACTAGAAAGAAGGTCTCGCTGGCGTATAATTAGACAGCCTGCTCACCACCGTATGCATTCAGTTAGCCAACCTGCTTTTGCATACTTGGCATAAAGGCAGCACTTCACTGTGAATCCTGTTTGTCCTTAGCACCATTTTTTTCTTTATAAATGCCTTTTTATTAAGAACGGTAACACCATCAGGATCTTCCCTGATGGATTACGTCTTGTGACAATATATTGGCTCCTTCCCAAACAGCAAACAGTGCCACTAGGATGGCAAATTCTTTAATTTGCTATATAAATGTTTTGCAGCATATTTTTTCATAGTATACACCAGCTGTCAACTCACTTTACATGTAAATGAATGAAATTTAAGGCTAGAGCAAAGAAGTGATTCAGTAGCAAAGGAATAGAAGAATTCCAGTCAGATAAGTGAAAAAATTAGAGGGAGGGAATTTAGGCTGATGCAGTCATATAAGTTTTCAATAGACTTGGTGAAACTCTAAACAGCATTTTCCAAAGTTAGTATTATTAACCATATTGACTGGCATGAAGAAATAACTATGCCAGATTTATGGTGAAAGGAGGAGCATGTTAAGTCTTATAGAAACTTCTGCCCCAGCTTAGTATTTTCTTTCAGTGTCAGAATATCAGTTCAGGTTAAAGGCTGATGTATGACACTGTTTTGAATTGCACTGTTTAATCGGCTTCTTGGTTTGCTAATATCCTAGAAATATACCAATAATATCAGATTTATCTGGCAGCTCCTGACTTATTCTTTTTCTCAAATTTTCTGCCACATTAGTAATTCAGAGAATTTTAGACTGAATAGTTTTTGAGATTAGGAAAATATACAAGACTGGATTTCACGGAGCCTATTCTCCCAACTCTATAACTTTAACTCTTCCCTTTCCAAATAGTATTGCCTTTTTATCAAACTATTTTCTTAAATGGGGTGGGATGCAGAATCATGACCAGGAATTCAGTAAAAAGGGGAGGGAGTATTTAGCCTTTCTTCGCAAACAATGATAATAACCCATACAAACATCTGGTGTTGGGGAAAATGGAACTGTCTGCTTGGAAGCAGAGTTGTTATTCCATTTGTACTTCAAAGTGGAGCAGCAATGATTGGGTGGTGTTAAATCATCCATATTCAAAAGCATCCTTAGACAGAATATTTGAAACTGATGCTTGTTTTTTGGAGTTCTCCCTTTGAGCGATGATGTGAGGTTTCACAAAGTGTAGTACATGCTCAGGAACAGTAGAGGGAGTGTGGCAAGCAATCAGAGTGAAAAGAAACAATGGTTTAAGTTTAAAATCCA